ACGGCACAGAGCAGTGAGCTATACAGGCTGTCTCATGGTGACATGGTGACGGCCCATTAGAATATTTCGGAGAGTACTTCGATTTGAATTTTGAATATTTGTGCCCTGGGGTTTTGAGGTTATATAAAGTCGATACTTTCTTATTTTAAATGGCACCCCCTGTATATTATTGCATTTTTGGAAAAAGCATCTCTTTTTAAGTTGAAAACATATAGCACACTCGCACACCGTTTCCGAGATATTTTGATTTTTAAGCAAAAATTGACAGATGCAGACTGTCAGCAAAATTTAGTTTTCCCGGAAACGTAGGTTTATTTTTTTGTGCAAATTGGACATTTTGTAGAGGAAGACCTAATTTATCGAATTTGACATGAAAATTTTCCAGTTTTTATATAGGGTGGTCAAAAAAAATTTAGCAAATATGAAGTTCACAAAATGTGTAAAACTCGAAATTTTTAAATGGAAACCCCTAATCTTTTAACGTATTCGCATTCTACACTGAAATTAAGTGTAATTTTGTTAAAGTTTCCCTATACCTAAACCCAGTGGTTTTCATTTTATTTACGAATAAACATTTCCCTTTTCTTAAAATGATGCTTCCATTTGTTTCGCACATATTAGATTGGCCCTGACAGGTAAGTAACAATCAATATGACAACTGTCACAGGTTTTTATTTGTCAAAATTTATTTAATTCCTTGTGGGTCGCTGCTCTAATAGAATCCGGTGATATATGCTATTTTATTTGGGACGCTAAAAAATTGTGTGTATAGTACTCCAGTAACAACAAAAGAAAATTGAATGCATAGAGTAAGACAAGCATTTGAGCATCTATCACCGGATTCTATTAGAGCAGCGGCCCACAAGGAACTAATCGGAAGATGTGGAAAATGTTTAGAAGTTGAGAAGTTGAAGGAAGACATTTTGAACGTTTATTAAAATAAATTTGACAATTAAAAACCTGTGACAGTTGTCATATTGATTGTTACTTACCTGTCAGGACCAACCTAATATGTGCGAAACAAATGGAAACATCATTTTAAGAAAAGGGAAATGTTTATTCGTAAATAAAGTGAAAACCACTGGGTTAAGGTACAGAGAAACTTTAACAAAGTTGCACTTAATTTTAGTGCAGAATGCGAATACGTTAAAAAAATTAGGGGGTTTCCATTTAAAAATTTCGAGTTTTCCACATTTTCTGAACTTCATATTCGATAACCTTTTTTTGACCACTGTATAAAAACTGGAAAATTTTTATGTCAAATTCGATAAATTTGGTCTTCCTCTACAAAATGTCCAATTTGCACAAAAAATAAACCTACGTTTCCGGGAAAACTAAATTTTGCCGACAGTCTGAAATACTCTAATGGGCCGTCACCATAAAACAGCCTGTACTTTTGCAATATACTCCAGATATGGTTTTAGACTGTAACAATGAATATAAATAAAATAAAAAATCGTTTTAAATTGCGAGACATTGAGACTTTGCTTCTGAATACGCTGCGACATGCCGAAATCGCCAAAAAAAAAACGCCGCCTCTAGTTCGGCAAAACTGAAATCGAAATTTATACACTTCGAAACGACGCTATCTAATACACGCGAAGCTGTCGAAAACAACAAATAACATCGGCTTCGGCCGCGAAACAATGAAATAACGAAGTAAAGTGCCCACTACGATTGTCGGGTTTATTTTTAAGAGGAATTTCACGAAGTATATCCGTTTTATTTTTAGAAACCGCCGCCGATTTGCGAAACATGTGTCTCAATGGATTAATGGCGGCGGATAACGAGCGAACGAGTGTAAAGAGGTCGATTTTTTGTTATGCAACTGCCTGAAATCGAATTGCGGACGAAACCGACAGTTACGTAAAAGTTATAGAAAGGGACACGCCGCCCGCCGTGTCGCTCTTCGTCAAGGCCGACCGCGTGAAAAAAACTGAACGGGGAAAAAGTGGACCGGCGCGGCGTTAGCGACATTTACCGGACGAGATCAAAAGTAGCGGTAGGTGCTCGTATGCGTAGAGGACGGCTCAGATAAGAATATTAGGGAGTTTTTGCATAAGGTATTTACGAATACGATAAACGTTAAAAACATGTGACTGAATACCGTATTGACAAATAGCGTGTACTGAATGTTTCCAGTTTTTGCATATCGTGTCGTTTATCCGCAATGGTAAAGCGTGTCCTAACCTCAATTCTGGCGGTTATGCTTTCATTTGATACTTTTGCGGTAAAAGGCAATCGGCAAGTGAAAGAAAATGGATGGATTATTATTCGTACACAAAATTACTATCCTAAATGCACGGTAAACTAATACCGTAATCTGGGTTGGATATCGGAATACCGTAACGATAAACACCAACGGTAACTGTCGCACATGCGCAATGCCCCCTCACGTGACTTTACCGTTTACGGTATTCTTAAAACCGATATGCAAAAACTCCCTATTTTTCATTAATAATAAGAATTTTAGCTTTAGATATGAATTAGCCTTTTTTTCGTTTATGCTTTATTTTTCATGCTTTATTTAAAGCTTCATTATTTATACATAGACCAGGGATATGAGGTAAATAAATGACCTAGTGGTGACTGTTGAGTAGCCAGGGATCTGTAAAGTTTTTCATACAATTTGGATGAATTTTAGTATAATATGTGCAAAACCCACACACCATCAGGTGAGGTTATTTAATAATTAACAATAAAAGGTCTGAAATAACCCAAAATATCACTTTTTTGCCTACCAGAAAAAAACGATAATTTTTATTATAATGTGAAAGTAAGCAACTTGTAGGGAATAAAAAAACCTTTAAAATGGCGGTTTTTAAAATCCGATACGATAATTTGTTGCTCGGGAAATTGCAAAAAAGTGTCAAAATTCGATTATTACTAAATAAACAATAAGTTTTGCAAAAGTCAACCTACGACTTTGATATTGCATAAATAGTTGGCTTTTATAGTCCTTAATATGAGATTAAAATTTCAGACCGATTCATCCAATAGTTTTTGCAAAATTCTAAATATTTAACCCAGAGGCATTATTTTTGTAATAACTTGATACGCAAAATTACCAAAATATTTTAATTTTGCGGGTGTCATATGAAAGAGAAAGACTTCTTTTACTGGAAGAAATTATTTTATTGCAAAAAAATTATTTTTACGTACCATAAAAACACTGTCATTTTTGTCTTATAAACAATTAGAATAAATTTGTTGCTATTATATTTAGAGATTATTTTTCCATATTCGTAAAGCTGGTATTTTTACACAAATTTAAAAAAAAAAGTTGCTCTAACTTAATTTGGGACAAAGTTAGACACTTTTTTTTTAATCACAGCTACTTTGTTTATAACCATTAAGACTTCTAATAAGTGCCATTTCGAAGATAAAGAGCTAAAGTTTCTATGTGAAATTTTTGAGGGCGATAGCTTTGTAACACCATCTATGAGAATTGCTCTAAATAATGACTTCGATACAAGATGAGTGTGAGTCAGTGGAGGGGGAACCTACAAATCCACGAGCAAATTGATAGAGCAAGTTATATCTGGAACTTGTTGACCGATTTTGATGTTTTTTTTTGTAATTTGGGGTACCTTCTTGCGTATATCACAAATATGCATTTTGTTAATAAATAAAAATTTAAATTAATCCAGTAATTTGTTTACACATTAACAAAAAAATTTCAATATCTTTTGTAATTTTTTTGTAATGAAACATTATGGGAATGATTAAATATCATTTTTTAATAAATTAATATTGCAATTAACTAAGTGTTTTGTTTAAACTTTTACCAAAAAAAAATAAATTCTAAATTATCAACATTTTCGGAGTTATTTTGACGGGAAGTTATAGATATAGGTTCAATTTTTTTCTTATTAATAAATTAACATTTAACATTGAATAATTTGTTTATTCAATTGTTATGATAATAATAATAAAATCTCTACTCCTCATTCTAACTACGAGAATTAACCCAGAAGTCGGAGACTTGTACGGGAGATGAGGTGGCATACTATTATTACGCAGGCCGCATTTGCACCCAGGAACGACTTATGTTGGTAGGCCTTAACCACCATTCAGTGCAGGAATGAGGGAAACCTGGAAAACCTCATTAGGTTAATGTCATTAATTAGGTGTTGATTATTTAGATTTTTTTTTTGGTAAATGTTTAAACAAAATACTTAGTTAATTGCAATATTAATTTATTAAAACATGATATTTAAACATTCCTATAATGTTCCATTACAAAAAAATTACAAAAGATCGTTTTTTTTTTCTGATAGGCAAAAAGGTGATATTTTGGGATATTTTAAACTTTTTATTGTTAATTATTATAAAACCTCAGTTGATGGTGTGTGGGTTTTGCACATATTATACTAAAATTCACCCAAATTTTATGAAAAACTTTGCAGATCCCTGGCTAGTCAACAGTCACGGCATTTTCCTCATATCCCTGTTCTAATAGGGTTGGGCAAATTATGTACTGGGTGAACAATAAGTTTGATTCAAAGTTCTTAGTTTTTGTAGTATTTTATCCTTTTATCCGTAGTTTTCTTAAATGAACTACCCTGTTTATTTGAACATCCACCGATTACAATGATATAAGTAGGGATTGGTGGGTCTGCGATTTATTGTTTTTTAAATGTATTATTGAAGCAATTAAATTAATAAATAACATCCCTTTGAAAATGACTTTTTTTTAAACAAAAAAGACTAAAATATCTTTTTTATGTTCAGGAAACGGAATTAAAATGCCAACGTTTTGTACGTATGTACCTGAAAATATTAAAAAAACTAAAACTGATAATATTTTACATGACAAATACCATTTCCTATGCAACAGCAGCAATTTTGAATTATGTTCTACGCGAATTTAGGCAAATAAAACAATAAATAATAATAATAAAATTCCTTTCATCTTGAATAAAAAAGAAATGTTTTAGGGATAAAACACAATATCGAAAAAATATATAAACTAACAAAAAAAATTATAATTTTTGCAGATATCCCGAGCCTAAAGGCCGACCTGAGGTGCTACAGGTGCATAGTGGCGTCACCTGTCGTCAACTATGAAGGAGAGACCTACAACTTGTGCAAAGACTTCGACTACTCGGAGAAGTTCATCGTCAACTGCCCCTATTCCACGTTTTGCGTAAAGAAAATTGTCAGCGCAAAAATCCCATGTACGTCCGTTTGAAAACAATCGATAATCGCTTCTAGTCCAGTCATTGAAGGTAAAATACGGCGTTACTGCATAATTTTCCCAAACAGCACCGATTTGCAGCAAAATTTGGATTTAGGTTCTACTTACCCTCTACTTCAAAGTTGACCTAGCGCCGGGGGTTGCTTTTTATTTTTTAGGGGTGAACACTGCCCCTATTCGAAAATAATTATAGAATTGTAGATTCGAGCGTGTAATAGGTTGAAATCATCTTTAAATAAGTAATTGTGATGAACTGAAAATTGTCAATCCCTAAAAACCACCCCCTATGACAGTAATCACTAAAAAATAATGTTGAAAAATATTATTCAGCAACTTGGAATAATTTAGTGATATTAAATTAAGATTTCTGTACTGTTTTAATTTTTTTATTATTTATTTATGTTTCAACCCTTATAAAACCACCCCTTGTAAAAAAAATCTAACAATTATAGTTAAAAAAAAAATTTAGTTCGAAACATAATACAATCTTTTTATTATTTAAAATGTAATGTATTTATTTTATCAAACCTTAAAAAAAAAACCTACTGATTAAAATTTGCAATAAAAAATAAGGAAAATAAGAATTTTATTTTTATGGGTATGATTTTATTTTTATAACAAAAATTGTTTTTATTGCAAATAACATAAATAATCAAAAATGTAAATACGACTGTGCCTAAAATATAGCTATAATGTGTATTCATCAATGCTTCAATCATTCTGATATCTGCAAAAATATGTGATTGGTTTTTTACCCATAACTCGCTTAGTTTTTATGCTATCAAGCCCTTCAGAAAACTATTTTGTAGGTTTTTTCAAGGGCTGTAAGATCAAATAAGTTAAATTTTCTTTCAGCCCTTATTTTTGTAAGGGTTTGAACTGAAAGGGCTTGACCAAGTTGCTATTTACGAACATATGCAAACTTTAAACGGCCATATCTTACTTAATTTTTATTCTGCAGAGAAAAAAAAACAAAATTTTCAAAAATGCAAAACCTACAATTTTGTACTCTACAAAATTTTGCGTATCATTAATAGTTTTTGAGTTATTTTGAAGAAAAGACATTTTTTTCCAAAAATACAAAAATTCTCTTTTCACTTCAAGCTCAACTTTTTTCAAAACCAAGCACTTTAAACCCGTCAAACTTCTAGAGCATATTACAAGTACATAAATGAAGTAAATTGCAAAGTGGTAACGTTTATATTCAATCGGGGTGGTAATTAGGGGGTTTTTATGTCGCCGAAAACAATACAGACCAACTTTATTTTCGTCATAACTCGCTTCGGTTCGATGCTAGGGACTTTTATAAAAAATAAAAATAAAGGTTTTTTCAAGAACTTTAAAAAAGGTTCTATGAGTATTCCCTGAAAAATGCATTGGTTTTTGGTTATTTCACGTTCAAACTTTCAATTTTGGCATTTGATGAATAAGAACCAACCTTCAACAAGCTATTACTCCGCTTGTATTGGGTCTACAGACACCATTCTTTTTGTTTTTTTTATAAGCTACATTTTTTATACGAATGATTTTTTTAATAAAATACTTTTTGAGTTATTCGCGAAAAACTATCTGAAAAAGTCCACCCCCAGGATAAAAGCAACCCTCGGTACAAGGTCAACTTTGAAGTAGAGGGTAAGTAGAACCTAAATCCAAATTTTTATGAAAATCGGTGTTGTTTGGCAAAATTATCCTCATTGACTGGACTATTCTCAGCTCACAGCAAACTAGCTTAACATGATAGGCAACACAGTATACGAGGCGTCGGGCGGGTTGCCTATATTCCGCACAAAATGCTGCAATTTTGTTGTAAATTATTAAATTGAAGTATAAATCTGATGGAACAGTTGAGTTGTCTTAGAAAATATTAAAACTTTTATTCTCTTTTAGCCTTAAACAGTTAATTTCTACAAAATATATTCAGTTAACAACCCGTTAAACTAATGTAATCTTTTTCCATCCGCATGTACCCAACAATAGACAACACTTCACCAACTCCCAAAGTAAAAAGATAACCTCTAACTTCGACATATACAAATTAATTTCAAAACTAGATCACGCTACATAAACAATGAATATTAAATTTAAAGGGAAATATATCTTGATTGTATCAACCGTATGTTGCAGATCTGATAAACGGAACCGAAAGGGACTGCGCCAGCCAGAAACTGAAGCAGCACAAGTACCAGAACAAGATGTGGCACGTGGACTACATCGTCGAAGACCCCTACATTGAGGGCTGCGTGAAAGCCGACGACAAAGGTGCGAGGACCACCACCGCCGAGTACTGTTACTGCAAGGGCGATCTGTGCAACGCAGCTTCTGCGTCGGGGGGCCATTTCTACCGTTACATTCTTACAGCTGTGATAGTACTGTTCTCAAAGTCGTATCTGTGTTATCGTGCTCTATAACGTAGGTTACCTTAGGTGTTTTTTTTTAAATTCATTCTAAAAACGTGGTCTTAGCGACATTTCTCGCAAGCAACAGGTTACGCCGGTTGGTGCTATTTAGACTTAATTGTATATAATATTAGCTTCTCGTTCTGTTTAGACATTAAAAAAAAGCTTTAGTCTCGAGATATACATCATTTTTTGCATTTTGTGGACTAAAATGACCAAAATTAAAGTTGACTAAAATTACTTATACCCTAGTTTGACAATTGATAAAAACTTCAAGTCTATGTGGCAACATAACCTATAACATCTGTCAAATCAGCTCGGGGACCAATCAGATAGCATTAGTAGACGTTTGTTTGTTTTTGTTACACAACAATTGCTTGAAATAAGCTACTAGATCGGTACTTTTAATCCACGGAATGCGAAAAAATCACCGCCACTGTCCGTAAACTAACATCTTAAGATATGTAGTCACAACTGAGGCTGTGTTTATATAAATATTGATATGCTCGTTAGGTAACGCTCGCTTTGGTGAACTCTTTATCGTTTTATACACACACTTGTAAGGAGAGATTAGATAACGGCGCTCTAATCTCCTTAAAACGCTTTGAAAATTATTTTTATTCTATTATCATTGAAATTATTTTTTACTGCTTCGATTCTACCGCAATTTTCTTGACCATACCATTTGGGACCAACATTGAAACAAAATAGTAAAGCAAAAAAATTTTTAATACATATTGCTTTGGGTATGTGCAATTAAATATTGAACCTTTTTGAAAATTTTATAAAGGACGTTATATATTTACCTATATTTTTGCTTATTGTATACATATTGACGAATAAAAGAAATAAAGTATATGTATATTGTGTAAAAATAAATATTTAAATAGTTGTTACTTTTATTTTCGTAGCATTAAGTAAGTTTGTATACATTTTTTTTATTAATCAGTGAAATTAATGGATTTGTAAAATGTTAGCAACATCATAAGGTCATTTCTCGTTTTTTTTATAATTTCAAGACTTGTTTAAACATGCATTTTGTAATTTTCAATTTTTGATCAAAATCCAGAGTATTTTAGATCAACACTTCAGCGATAAGCCGCTACTATCGTCCATTGTTGGCAGTGCCATGTTTACAACATAATATAAATGTAACGAGCGTTTAATATTGAAAATTCAAATAAAAAAGTCATTATCCGTCATATAAATATAAATTAAATATTTTGTACTGCTGCAACTTTAAAGTAGGTCTTTTAGGAGTAATAGTATGCATTCTCGAGAACATTAATCTAAAATATTTTTATTTTATAACTCGAATATGTAGTTAAATTACAATTCATTTTTTTTTAACTGCATTTAAACCTTTGTCTACGCCGTTACTGGACAGCTCCCGAACTTGGTGCTATGCGCAGACTTATTGTTGCAATTTTTTTAAATCAATTGTATAAAGTCAACAGAGCAGCAAAAACTGACTACAGAAAATAATTTTGCAAAACACGGATTGCTTTTGTATGACCCAGGGACACATTGTTTTGAAGTGGACAAAGAGCCAAATATTAAAAAAAATTCTATTAGGTAATTTTAAAAAAATACTATTTATTGCATGATTTATTAAATATTAACTAATATCGATATGCAGACAAACATGTTAATTGCAACCAAACTAATTTATTTTTAAAAGTAATTATTTTTGCGATTTTATAAAAAGTATAAGTATAATAAAAATTAATTAAATTGCCCAATAATAATAATAGATTTGAAATAATTTGTAAAATCATTTTAAATTTTTACTAAGAAATACTTTTTTAAAGTACCGATTCAAGTAATTTCCGAATTTTGTCAATGATCTCTAATATTGACCAAATTTAAATGAACAATCAACGCATTTGATATGACATGATGCAAGGTAGACAAAAACAAAACGATCAATGTTAATTCGTCAAAACGGGAATGTCCAAATATGTCACAACTTCATTTTATTAGTTATTTTAGTTTTCAGTTTATCGAAAGATTTTAAAGGTCAAAAGTTAAATTATTTTATACACGGTGACTCACAAATGATGACCAAAAATGAAAGCCCGTAGTCTTTGGTGAATTTTAAGGGGTCTTTCCTATAAAGTTTTTATCTAGGACGCTTCGTTAAAAAGATACAGGGTGTTAAATTTAAAAAAATATTTTTAATTTTTTTAAATAATTTAAAAACGTACGTGAAAAATTCACCAAAGAATACGAGGTTTCATTTTTGGTCACCATTTGTGAATTACCCTGTATATCATCAATTCAATACAAGGTTATTAATCCATTATTTCATATTTCACTCATATATTTTCACTAATAACAACAGAAAAAAAAATCGCTAAAATTTGAAGTTATTTTAATTACAATTCTAGCATTTGTTTTTCCTTATTTTTCCTCGTCAGTGCAGACTTGATTAATTTTAACTCTTAACAGATAACCTCAAAATATCAAATGTCACTATTATCTATAAATTCAACTTAAATCCACATAAAACTGTTAAATTCGGATATTTAAAATATACATATCATAAACATTAAATTTATATTTGATATTACTAAACGGAAAATATAAATACAGAAAAATGACTCACCTTCGAAGTATTTTCGACCAAGCACAGAAACACGACATCCTCCCTTTGCAACCTCACGGCAGAATGCAGCGGCATCTGCGTTTTACTCTTCAACATCTTGTAGAGCAGCGGTCCGGACATGTGCTCAAAATCGGTACTGTTCAAGTCATCCCAGTGGGTGGAAATAAGCCCCGAACAGTAGTCACGTAGATTACCAGCGTTCACTTCCTCCGCTACCGAATAAAACTTAACACACGACCGAATATTGACGATAGAAATCAAGAACTGTTCGCACAACTCCACTAAGCTGTCCAGTTTGAATTCGAACGCCTTCTGGATGAGCTTCAAAGTCAGAACGTCCGACGAGAGCTTCAGGTTGTTTGTGTAGAGCCACAGTATTATGGCGTTTGCTACTTCTGGTTCGATGGTGCTCCAGTCTAACTCGTTTTTGTCGTTCAAGTAAGCTTCGCTCCAGATATTGCTCCTGGCGCACAAAACCAGCTTGTGCGCGCTTATTTCCCTATCCATAAGCTTTATTTTTATATCACTGAAGGTTTCAGAGTCGTACAAGTTGTTTATGGTCTTTAGGAGACGTGACGCAAAAGTTTCTTCGGAACTTTCGACATTACTGGCCGCTATGGTGTTGTATTTGGCCTCTATTTCGCGGTACTTCGTCTGCAGCTTGGAGTACTCTTGTTTTAGGAGCGACAGGTGCTGTTGCAGCTTGGAAACTTCAGAAGACTGAGCTGAAAGACATGTTTATTACTAACTGTCAAAGTGAGTGTTATTTTTTATATTAGTTCGGATAGTTTAGTTGTACTTACCCATTTTATATAGTTTTGAACCTAAATGGCATCTAGTTTTCCTGATAAGCGGTATGGAGGCGTGCGAAATTAATAGATTTTTTCCATGTACCGCCCCAAAATGTTTTTGAAACATAACCTCATCTTTCGGATGTTTGTTTGACGTTTACATGATAGATTTCAAATTTAACAACAGCCGCTCGTGATACAGAACGTTCCGAATGTCTATTCGATGTTCATTATCGAGTGACATTTAATGGGAGAATGAGCCAATCAGCAACCTGTCAGGAGGGCCAGCTTTTGTGCAAAGGGTTGAGCAAATATGCGGAAATCTACTTTAAAATGTAAAGAAACAAACACAAACTTATAGAAGTTTTAATATACTATACTGCAGCCGTATTTTATTTTAAAACTTCGAATATGTGAAAAAGGGTACGTTCCCCATGGATTGTATAAATTTGTGAAAAGTAAATATGTATGAAATTTATCCCATAGTCGCTTGAAATAGCTTATGTAACTGTGTTTGTCTAAAAAAATACATTTTTCAGCACACCGACTGATAACCTTCATGTCGTCAAAAATACAAAAATAAGTGACTTATTTCCAGGCAGGTCGGAAAAAAATGGCCAACACCTTTAAGTACCTCAATAAATTACCTCAAAATCTAAGGTAGCTAGTGTGTTGTGTGTTTATTATTAGGTACTTAACCTTTGGGGGCATATATTTTTAATAATAATAATTTATAATAAAATATTTGTGTCGTAATCGCGAATTTTGCGTTATAAATTTTCGACTTTGTTTATAAATCGTCATTTGTTTTAAACTTTTAGGTCGGTTTCTACAACTGGCTCCAAGCAAGATGCATGGCTATCCAAGATATTTGTTAGAAAGATCGAACCAACAAAAGAATCTCACAGTCGTATGTTGAGTGACAAAGAAATCATCTATTCTCTGCAAACCCATAATTATCGACCTGACTCTAAAAAGGCTTACCTGAGCAATGTGTGAGTATTAGCAACTACATTTTTTTTGCGAGATATTTTAATAGTAATTATCTACTAAATCCAAAAAACTGTGTCACGAGTAAACAACAAACAGCTGAATGTCAAGATATGTCTCATGTAACTTGTTTGATAGGAAAAATACGGTGGATTTTATAAAAACGCAACCCTCCCTGAAAAATGACGTAGAATTAGTTGGTTCGTGGACCGTAAATGTCGGTGATCAAGATCAGGCCCTCCATCTGTGGAAGTTCACCGGTGGATATGAAAAAATTGACGACTACAATGAAATTTCAGGGAAAAGTGAGGTTAGGAACATTATTTTTAAAACAATCGAGTGTTGTGTCCGTAATTTCATAAAACAAATGAAATAAGAACTGTGGAAACAAAAATTTACATAAAAATAAATATTCTAGGAGGCCCAGAAGCTAAACGAAGAGCAGGGCAGAATCGTGAGATCTCGACACTTGCAATACCTACTGGCCTTCAGCTATTGGCCTCAGATCCTCCAGAGGGAACCGAGCAACATTTACGAGATCCGTAGTTACGCCTTGAAACCAGGTACTATGATCGAGTGGGGTAACAACTGGGCGAGGGCCATCAACTACAGGAAGAATAACGACGAGGCGTTCGCCGGGTTCTTCTCACAAATAGGGAGATTGTACAATGTCCATCATATCTGGTGTAAGTATTTACACTTTACGATGCACGATTTTTCGTTTATTGATTAATGTAGTGAGGTCGTGTTGATATTTGATTTGTGCAGTGTTGACGTATTTGTTTTACCAAAGAATATCGTCTATCTAGGCATTTTTTTCTCAAAATTTTTGTAACGATACATTTCAAAATTTTAAAAATTATTGGAACACTGCGAAATGAACGGCACAATACAATTTCTATGCAGAGACTTATATTTTGGACTCGGCGTGGGATATAGGCACATTTTATTTTATTTTTTTTCAGGTTATCACAACTTGACAGCTAGAAAAGAGACGAGGGAGAGCGCTTGGCGCTCACCCGGTTGGGATGAGTGCGTGGCATACACGGTACCCCTTATCCGTGAAATGCACTGCAGGATAATGGTGCCCACTGAGTTCTCGCCAACTCAATAGCATATCTAGTGCGTAATATTGAAAAATCTGTTGCTTTTAATAATTGGGATGAGTCATTTTATCTTTATTTTTTCTTACTTTTTGTTTACGCTGACAGTTGAGAGCAATATTTGTAAGATTTATCCTTCTATCCGTGATTTTACTGGTATGGAAAGTATCTACACAAACGGGGCAACAATTTATATATTTTAAAGTTCAAATTAGCTTCGACTTGCAGTTCTGGGTAATTTTATCCAAAGCAAATCGCGGGCGTACCCTTCGCAGTTATTTTATTTGCATTTTATACTTTACTGTTATCCATTTTATTTTTTGTGATTAATGGCGTAATTGTATTCCTTTAATTTTTCGATCATGTATAGTTTTACTGTAATATATATTTGAAATATATACACGCCAACAGCCGTTTGCGTTTCATTTCTCTGCGGTCGATCAGGAGCGGGATAATCCATTTGGTAAAAATCCTGCTTCTGATATCGGGGAGGGTAGGGGATCGACGAATAAAAAGGCTATGGAGCAGAAAACTATAATTATAAGTTAAAAAAAATACACTAATAATAACTTTGACACTTAAGTTTTTTCAACAACATATTATTTACAATATATTGACTAAATTTTAATAATAAATACTGCTACTTAACAATAATTAATGAAAAAGTTAACTCAATATACAATACCGATACTCACTAAAATACAAATTTTTACAAAAATTGCCTCTAAAAGATTCTGCTATATATATAAATAACAAATTGCGTCATTTTTATTTCGATTAATATCCCAAAAAATCACAACTTACTCGAATAATTCCCACATAACCTCAAAAATACCAATCTTCCGATATCGAGTCGGTTTTTATTTAGCAGACGTTCTGCGCGAGCTAAATAAAAGGTACGCTACGTGTTTCGGGTTATGTGAGAGGACGAACACGCACAATCTTTAACGCTACTCGCAGCACTTAAAAATGCTGCAATTTGTTGCTCGGAGTTCCTCAAAAAAAACAAAGCATAAATAATACGTTTTTTAACAATGAAAAAACGAAATTTAACGATAGAATGTAGAGTAATAAATAGGAGACGGCTCTGGATGCCCGTTTCCGGTAAAAAGAAATTAGATATATACAAAAATATAATAAATACGCCGGGGCGGAGCACGGAGGCGTCGCACGGTCCTAAGTGTGGGAGAAGACGTAAGTGCGGTTGCTGCTAAATCCATATTCGTTAAGTTTTTGATTGTTTGAAGCGAGCACGAGGCCTCCGCGCTCCCACCCGGCTAAATCAAGTGGGGGTTAAAAATTTTTTTTCACAATACACATTTCAGCAGTATGAATTTGAATTTAAGCGTACACAGTACCAAATTCCTTTTGGTAGAATTAGTCTTTGTTTTAAATTTAGTGGGTCTCTAGTACCATCTAACTTAACTATAACGTAGTAATTTTATATTAAAAACAGCGGAAAACGTGCCTGCACAATATTAAAACGGTTTCTATCGCTGGCCCGAATAATATCAAACAAATCACAGCTATCCACGACTACCAAAACAAAAGAGCATCTCCAATTCATCCGTTTCTTGATTATTGTGAACATTTTAGATATAAACAATAAAAGATCACTGTAAAATACGTTTAAACAAATAAAAAATACAAAACATGCTCAGACACAGTATTCTCAACTTACTGAAAAAAAAAAAAAACAATATGGTGTCTGTAAGTTGTCAAAAGACTGTCAAATTCTTAAAACAAACGAAGATCGGCCAACTCTGATTTCACAGACAAATTAAGTGAGATTAGTGCTGCTTTCCCATAACAACCCACTTCAATATTCTGCAGACGCATTAAAGCCTCGTACTTTTTTTTAGGTATACTAGTTTATTTCAAATAAAAACGAAAAAAAATATGATTATGTTATATTGGAAGATTTATATATATAAAAAAAAGAAAAATTTGTTAAAAATGGTAAAATTAATTATATATTACAAATAAAGTAATACGTTCTAAAGAAATATTTACATTTTTAAATATTATTATATATAGATATTATCGATACGTAACGACCAAATTCCACATCCGTCAAAAAAAAAAAAAACGATCGACGTCCCGCCAACAATCAGACTCTAGAAAAATTACAATTACATTTAAAATTTCACTCATCACGAATATAAAATAAATAATCACAAACGGTGACAACGAATCGGTAATTTTTGCATCTAAACTTTTTGAAACCTTCCAACACGTTGAGGTAGATGATTCTCAGAGAAACGGCCGCGAAAGTACCGGTACATCGGGAGCAGTTGAAACGCACCGGCACGTCGAGAGTAGTTCAAACGTACCCGTACGTCAAGAGTAGTTGAAACGTACCGGTACGTCGCGAGTAGTTCGAATGTACCTACACGTCAAGAGTAGTTCAAACGTATCGGTACGTCGGGAGTAGTTCAAATGTACCGGTACGAGAACGGCGATCCCAACTTCTCGGCGTCGGGGGGGCATCCGCTGGAATTTGGTGGTTACCGGTCAATAATACCGCACTTACTAAACGGAGCTGGGCGGGAAGCTCGTCGAGCTGTTGGAATGCGCCAGGCTGAGCATGGAGCCCGACAGGCTGCCGTCGTCGTCGTAGCTCTCCCTGGACATGTCGTTTATCGCCAGCGACATCTCCGCGATAGCCAATGCACTGGATCAAATATAGTTTATTCGTCGACAAATTATAAAAAAAAAAAATATGTCTGGCCTCACCTAAATCCCAGCCGGACCGACTCCTCGTCGAACTCCTCCAGTTCCCTCTCCTGCCTCTCGTGCAGGATCCTGATCCTCTCGCCCCTCTCCTCGATGAACCGCTGGTTCTCGGCTTGCATCTGTACGGAAAAAAAATCGAGTCAGGTAACGTCTTTGCGCGTTTAACGGCAAGCCTCACCTTTTGTTCCAACAGGGCCCTCCTGACGGACACGCGTTCCTGCAGCTCGTTCTTCTCACGATCCCTCTGCGCCTGCGCCTGCATCTTGTTCTTGCTTTGGTACGCGATCAGGATCTCCAGCTCGTAGCGGAGACGCTCCTTCATCCGTTGGCACTCCAACTGCAAGGGGCGATATAAAAAGCGGTAAAAAAGAATTCTCCAAAAAGATTCGCCCTTTTCCTTACACAGATTTTCTGTTACGAATTATAAAAAGTCTACTATGAATAGATATTTGAAAGGAGTTGCGAGTCTGCCAGGTCATATGTCAAGAAAATTATTCAGAATAAGACCTATGGCTCCTTAAAGGTGAGCCCTTGGAAGTTGTAACTTCTGGATACTTTGGAATATTTTAAAATACATCAAAATTGTATGATTCAGCTTTATCGTCTTAAAAATAAAACATCAAAACAGCTGTAAATTCATCAAAATTGGAGTCGATTTTTGATTTATTTTTGTTTACCGCAAACCGTGACGCTCCTTTCGTTTAAAACCCACCTCTTGGCTCTCGTCAAGCTTGATGCTCTGCTTCTGCAGCATCTCGGCGATGCTCTGCTCGTACTGGTCGCCGAGCAGCGCCAGCTTCCTCCTCTGCTCCTCCTTCAGCTTCTTGATCACCGCCTTCTGGTTCTCCTTGGGGGTGTTGAGCAGGATCTGCGCTTTCAGCGCCTTGTACTGCTTTGTCTGCACCTTGCAAGTCTCTCTGAACTGCTTGCGGACCATCATTTCCTTTTGCTGGACAAAAAAAACCTATATTAGAAGAGCGGGACGAATTCAGACATTTTCGACCTACTTTGAGCGACTTGGGCTGTTGCTTAAGTTCCAGGGCGTGTTTCTTCCGCATCTCCCGCTCGGTGCGGTGCATGTACTCCTCCTGGTTGGCCAGCTCGGTGTCGTGCTGGTTCTTAACCTGCGACGGGACAGAGAATTAACACGTTCGATAAATATATAGCGTTTATTAAGCAGGTAAAAGTGTACTTCGTGTTGTAAGCCACAGATGGCACTTTATAATTAACATCAAAATTGAAAAGTCAAAAAGTATTTTATAATACGTGTCTATTAATGCACAAACAGAAAAATAAGTGTAAAATAGTTTGATTTTGAAATTTTAAGTTAGTTTTGTTGGCGATTAAACTAAAAATACCAATAGATGGGTAGAACATAGTAGGTCAAAAGCATAAAGCAAATAACTCATCAGGTTGGTAACATTGTAAAAAACATACTTAAAAATACCAATAGATGGCGCTTTAATTTTGACAGTAGAACATAGTAGGTCAAAAGCACAAAGCAAATAACTCATCAGGTTGGTAACATTGTAAAAAACATACTTAAAAATACCAATAGATGGCGCTTTAACTCTGACAGTAGAACATAGTAGGTCAAAAGCACAAAAGAACTAACTCACCAGGTTGGTAACATTGTAAAGAGTACCAACCTATCACAACCACCAACCCGAACCAACGAATTCCACCATTGCTAATCACCGCCTACTCCATACGTACGTTTAAAAATGCGTTCCTCCTGTCACAAAAACAATCACTCCAACAGTGACATTTCTATTTGTGTAAACTTTTCAATCAAGACAAATTCCCATTGAACAGACCAAAATGCAAAACGCCATAGAGAAAGGCATGAAAATTAACCCGATAGGCACGTTGGTGGCCGTACTGGCGTGCATGCTGGTATTTTACCTGTGCAACTTCATCCTGATGAAGTTCTCGAAGTACCAAGAAAGAATCGCTAGCAAAGAGGGCAAACAGCGGGTGCAAGACGTAAAAACCGACGGGCAGGGGGTTATAGAGGGCGAGACAGCGGAACAGGAGCGAATCGAAGATTTGAAGGCTACGGAGAAGGACGTCGACAAAATGAGGAGGGAGAAAGCGAGGACGAGAACAACCATCGAGACGAAACAATTGCCCGTATTAATAAAGACATAAAATTCTGTTATATCACAAAATAAACACCAATAACAACTCTTTTAATCTTTTTCCTATGTTGCGTGTGCAGGATTTTAAATTTTTAGTGTAAAAAACTGTTTTACTGTTTATAAAAAAAATAACGGTACCTGCTCCTCTCTGAGAGCGTGCACGGCCTTCTGCTGCCGGTACTCGAGCTCCTGGGTCTTCTCGTGGTGGCGCAGCAGCATCGCGTGCGCCTGCTCGAGCTGGTGCTGGCGCTTGTTCAGCTCCTGCCGCAGCAGGTCCTGCTCCAGCTGGTGGAAGGAGATCAGTTTTTTTCTGCGGAACTTGCGTATCTCCAGGTCGAGGTACTCCTTCTGGCAGCGCAGCAGCCGCTGCTCCTCCTGAGCGTCCACCAGCTTGAGGTTGTCTTTGTGGGTCCTGAAAATGCACCCGGCTCATAACAATTTACATTTTGACGACTTGTGCCGATGCATGACAAGTCTGCCAAATCATGCATCAAGAGAATTATTTGGAATCAACAAAACTTTAGTTTTAGTTTAGATTTAAGGTTAAAAAAGGGAAGTTCATGGAGGGGGGAATTTTCACTCACTGTAGCGTGGCGTCTCTCTGTCGCTTGGGCGTGGAATCGTCCTGCGACAGCTCCCGCTTCCACCGCTCCTTGTTGGCCTTGTACTCCTTTTTCCTGTGCGCGTCAAACGCCTTCCGGTCGCTGTCCTGCCGGCTCGTTATGTCCTTGATCAGCTTCTTCTCGGCCGCCTGGTGCTGCTTCTGCTTCCTCTCCAGTTCCTGTTGGTGCTTCAGCTGGGAAAAAAAAAAAGAAAAACGACGCCGACGTCGTGAAAAAAATAGCGAACCGACCCTCCCCTCCGACGTACCTGCAGCCTTTCCAGCTCCTTGCTGAAGTTCTGCAGCAGCACCTCGTACTCCTTGTCGAGCTGGTTCTTGTGGCTCTCCATCTCCATCTTGCACTTGTCCTCGAGCTTGAGCAGGGCGCTCTGGTGCTCGCGGCGCATCCTCTTATAGCCCGACATCTGCTCGTGCATCTCCTCCTTGCCAAATAAAGACATATAATTAAAACTGCCGCGACAGTTAACCACGTAGGGCTGGGGGAACAGAGAAGAGGTCTCGGTTAGGGCGTGCGCCTTCTTATAACGTACGGCGGGTGCGGGCGGGGTCTGAAGCCGTGGCGGTGGGTTAGTGGATGGCGTGGCGTTAACGGAGAGCCGGGAAGGCGCGTTCGGGTGACAGAAAATGGCAAAATTCTAGAAAAACTAGGCGCAGAGGTGGGGGGAACGACCTACATAACCTCAGTGTTTTTTTTTTTAATATAATAAATGTTCTACCGTAACTTTTTAATTGGTTCAACTTTCCCCAAAAAAAAAAAAAACAAGAACTTAAAATTAAGCTTAAATAGCTCATATCAACCAGAAAATTGATCAATTTTTAATTATTTTCAATATAAGCAGTTTACTAATTTTAAAAAAATACACAAAACAAATGTTTCTTGATAATAAGGGCCGTTTAAGTTCTTTTTGAACAAGTTTAGGGATTTCAGAGAAAATCGCTTAACAAGAGACAAAGTTATAGGAAAATATTAAATAAAAAAATATAATATAGTAATTCCGTTTATTTCCGCTGTGTAAGAACGTGTGGCGTCCCCTAGGGACTCAAATGTTAACTTTGCACAGCAAGAATAATGATAAATTAAAAAAATATCTACAAAAAATGAATAATTGGAAGTCTGAATTAAAGCAATTTAACAAAGAGGTCTTGCAAGTAAATTATAGGTTCGTTGATTTGAATCAGAGCAACTGATTTTGTAAATCAGGTCGTTTTGACAGTTGGCAGCATTAAAAAACAATAAAAGATCGAATTTTGACAGCTGACAGAATTTAGAAACAATAGAAGCAAACAAACGAACAGACAATTTGAGGTTATTATTGTCCCCTAACTTCAGTCGACTGTCAAAAAAACCTGATTTAAGAATTAGTTGAATCTGTTTCGAGCAACACAAGTGAACTGACTTAACGAGAGACATAACTAATAATATATATTATATACTTTGAGTTTTCATGTCAAAACTGACAGTTACGAATTTCGCCACCTCAAACGCCAACATCAAATTTAAAGTCCTCACTATTTATATGCACACAGCGAATACACACCAATTTCTGTCACCCGAATCGTCATTACCAAAACTACAGTAAATCCAGATACCTGTATTACCGACCACACTAAATCTAGACACCTGTAATACCAACCACACTAAATACACCCTTAAAGATGACCTGAACGATGCCTAAAGAGAGACGGTTAGCTGCTAGGTTGAAGTTAAACAGAGAACGGTTACGGAGGCGTAAAAACGTACCTGCATATGCTCCTTCTGCTGCTTGGTAACGATACTAGTAGTGCGGATAGTGGCGAAGTTGTTGGTGCCATGGTCGGAGATGGCCGCCGCGGCGGCGTGGTTGAGCGGTCTGTGCCGTCTCGCCGTGCCGTCTTCTCCACCTGACACAAACAACGCTGTAAGATTTACATTTTTAAAAGCCGTTTTTTTTTTGCGCGGGACGTAACACTCACCTGCCGGCAGGCTGTTGGTGCTGCTCGACTGGCTGCTAGCCGAGACCCCCACGGAGTGGACGCTGTGCTCCGACGTGACGGAGTTGCTCTTCGAGCTGTCGCCGCCGGTGTGCTCGTCCGGCACGTCGTCGACGTCTGGAAAAACGAAACGTTACAGAAACGTCCCGAGTTAACTCGGAAACGGGACGACGTCTCACCTATGGTGCTTTCCGTTTCGCAGTTCTCCACCATCAGTATCTTCTTCATTTTCCTATAATTTAAGTTGTCGAGGTCCCTAACGGCGGCCTTCGTACGCTGGATTAGATCTATGAGGACGTTGGGCGAGCGGTTCCTCGTCACGAACTGGTGAGTGAGCAGCTTCAATGACGTGGGCCGCTGGCCGGGAGATTTCTAGCGAGGAAGACAGACGTTTTTTAAAAAAATTTTGGCGCTACACTCCCGATCGAAACCGTCGACTCACCTGTAAACACGCCTCCACGAAGTGCTTGAACACGTCAGACCACTCGGAGGAGGACAGAGTCGGCGACTCGTTTTGAGCAATATGGTACAGGGCCGACATGGCGTTCATGTTGAAGTAGGGCGGCTTGCGCTCCGCCAGCTCTATGCACGTGATGCCGAGGGACCACACGTCCACCTTGCCGTCGTACTGGCCCTCGTCCATCGCTAAAATAACCTAAAAAAACAAATTACGGAAATATTGTCCAGTTAGCAACAATTCGGTACTTACTTCGGGAGCCATCCAGTATGGCGTTCCCACGAACGAATTCGCCGGGCACTTTATCGAGGCGCTCCCGAAATCCGCCAGCTTCACTGTGCCGTTCTCCGTCAACAGAATGTTGCCTGCTTTTACGTCCCTGAAAAATGCCGTCAAAATAGTAATACAGAAAAATAGATAAATAATATTGGTAATCGTAACGCCTAATAAACAACAAAAATTAGTTGTATGAAAAAGTAGCGTCACAGCTAAATGTTGTAATTTATATTCAAAATTAAGTAATTTCGATTGCTTACCTGTGAATCCTGCCGTATTCGTGCAGGTAGCTCAACCCGTGCAGCACCCCGTCGCAGATTGCCGCTATCTCGTCTTCCTTCAAAGGTCGTTTGTGGACCTCGATGATGTCCGAGGCGGAACCGAGACAGTACTCCATAACCAGCCAGGCCGTGTTGTCTCTAAGGTAGCACCCTTTGTATTCGATGGTGTTGGGGTGATTCAATTTTTTCAAAAATCTGGAAGTTCGTCGAGCGTTTCAGAAATTACGGATAGCAGAGATTGAATTTTTCGTTTTTCAAGAGTTCTGCCTAGTTTCGCGTTTATTCGAATGAAATATTTGATAAACTGGACATTTTTACACAAAATCACCATATTATTGATTAATTTTAAATTATTTCTACCAGGAGATAAAGCAATGTTAATGATCTCTGTTTCAATATCACTAACAATCTGCAACTAAAACCGAGTCATTTGAACTACTCCATTAAATCTTTAACTCCTTGTCAATATTATTATTATAATTATTAAAAGTCGTTTAAATTTTGATGTTCAGAATAGAAATCCATAATTAATATCTGTAAAAGATTATTTTAAAAAATGCCCCTTCAATCTGCTCTAATAAAATCAATGTTCCCTCTAGAGTCCCCCAGGGCCCACATTGTGGCCCTTTTCACAATCCAGTTCTCATAAATCACAGCTTTCTTAACAGTCGAAAAGGTTTAATACGAATATACGAATCTATGTTACTGAGAAACGTCTCAACTCACCTGATCTCCTTGAGGATGTCCTGCCACTTCTCCAGGCTCTGCTTGCCAAGATACGACATCTTCTTAATGGCCACGATTTCCCTGGTGAGCAGGCACCTGGCGTAGTAGACGGCCCCGAAACTGCCGTGGCCGATCTCCCGCAGATCCTCGAAGATCTTCTCCGGGTCATGCTTGAAGAAGAGGTCGGCTATCTCGGGGTCCCGCAGGCTGCCCGGCCGGGGAACCGGCGCCATCGTCTCTATTAGGGACGCTATACTGGCATCTCACTGCAAAGCGAACGGCATGTACACATGTCTTAACGAAACGAGAAAAAATAATAAACAGGAAAGTAACTGAGTTTGGCCAATAAATCGACATATTTTTTTAAAAATACGAAAGCCATTTTATTATTTGTCATCAACAACAGGATTTCAATACAAATTTTATTTAATTATTATTAAAAAACAATTTATTTGACAATGAATATGAAATGTAGGTATTACAAAGTTTACCATTTTGTAATCGAATGTTATTAACTTATTCAAATGTTTTATTAGTAGCATTTCTTTCATATAAAATCACAATAAATCTCATGAAAAAGCACTCTGACGTTCTTTTATTTACTTACACTTAGAAATCTGACAGTTACTTAATAGATCTAATTGTGAAGTGAGGTTAGAATGACCCGACAGCTACACCATTGTAAAATCGTTAAATTATGATATATTCAAAGCTAATTCACCAGCTAATCGAGATTATGCATTCAAAGTTATAGTTAAAACCTATATCTATTGTTGCTATTCTGAAAATTAACAAAAAAGTCATACGTTAAAGTTGATTACATAGAAAACAGAGGTGGCCATGGAAATGTCAAAAAATTGTAACAATTGAAAAAATTATAGCCTTCCGAATGTTTGCAAAAAAATTAACCCAACCAATCACACAAAATTGTTTAAATCTAGTAATATTGTTCTTAAAGTTTTACACCTGTGGTAAAAGTGCCACCAAACTGAATCTATAGAAGCAACAACAAAGTAATAAATGGAAATGTAAGGTTAAAAGTGTTCTAAAACAAGATTTTCAGCATTATAAAAATATATTGTTACATAACTAAGATAAATCTCACCAAACAGCCTTATTTCTTATTAGCGCTTGCTGAATTTTATCAACAAAAGTACCTAATTTTAATAGTCAGATTAGTACTACTATGAATGTGTTGTAAATGAGGAATCCTAAAAAAATATCAACCTATTTTTCAAAAATCAATACCTTCATCATGCAAGACATATCAATGAACTTCTGTTAGCACTAGTGTTTAACATAAAAAATAAAAAAAAACGTCCTGGAGTGAGTGTTCAAACAAACATGAAGGGAAAAATTATTGTAAATCATTTAATTTAAACAATTGCCGACACTGAACACAAAATTCACGGCTGACTCGCAAAAACGCGTGCTGGCAGCGAGATAAGGCATTTCCAAGGAAGTAGCATTTATCAATTGATGATAAACCCTACAAAAATGTAAATTGATACAGGAATAAGCAATCAGCATGTTTCGTATTAGGTAAACAGCACCGATATCGGATATTTTACAGACCGTTCGACTCAGCTCACGATCCTGACGAGGTAAATCGGAACAGACTGTATTTTGTTTCTGATTATTATTTCATTTGTTGTTAAATCGCCTACTGACATTGTCGTAAATTAACATCGTCTGTGTTTAATTAAAAAAATCAGAAACGGTAATTCGGTAACAAGAGACGAGGAGTGTTATTAAAGAGGAAAGAGACAGCGGTGGTTTAGTTAGTGCTAATAGTTAATAAATACAACTACGAAAAACTTACAAATTACTGCCGATGAAAATAAAATGGCTGCCGATTTTTAATTTCCTAAATTCACTTTTTGTCACTTTTCCGTCATACGCGGCACATTTTTCATTATTTCTCGGGGTAGATCGCTCAGAGTACCTAACAATCACTTGATTCACATTAAAGCTTGTTACGCGGGGGGTTTTATTATAAATTTATTATAAAAACAAATTTACAACAAGGACCGATCTGTCACAAATGAAGACACTCTGTTAACCTCAAATTTCCCACTCTCAGTCGGTAAGCGACCATTTTCACCCTTCCCTTCATCACAATTCCGTCTAGGGCTGTTTGCTAATTATTTAGGTAGTTAATGGGTTTGTTTTTAACTTATTTTATAAAAAATATCACAACAAATACGAATGAAATATTACAAAACCCCACCCTAATATGAGTTTTGCTTTCATTGTCGATAAAGCAGACTTTTAATCGGATTCCGAACTCCGCCACCTGTAGGCTGACGTCACAACCACTCAAAGAGGTAAACAGGTTCCTTGGTCCTCAGTATTAGTTCAATATTCCCCCACAAGATATTCAGAATTCAAAACTATTTTTTAAAAAAGTAAATTAAAGATATAATTTGTTATATTCAATACATTATTCATATACATATGCACTGTTGGGTAATATAGAAACTTCAAAATTACATTACTTATTTTTCAGGATCTTCAATACTTTTTTAATCGTTTTTTTCCATATTCATCGCAGTCTGCGAGATTTACAAAAACAAATGCGCACGGAAGCATTCGTTTCTGTTCCCCCAACCCGCTAGATTAATATTTAACGTGTTTGCATGTAGTTGCCATAGCAACGCCAACACATTGATTACTAATTTTTTATTCCTGCCAGCGGCAACGCAACTTTAAAATCATTTTCAAAAAATATTTTTTATACAGTAAAATAGACGTGAAATTAACCTAAATATGTGTGAAACTAGAGCTTTAACCTTATTAGTACTTACTTTTATAATAAACAGTGCCGACGCTAAGTATATAGAGGGTGTTTTGGAAACGAGAGACGTAGGTATCTGCAACACGTCTTTTAATAAGTTTCCAATGTCTGTGTGATTTGTAGAATTGGGCCTTTCTTGCGAGATTCTGCTTTCTCTCCGAGGAGGGACAGTTCGAATACGATATAGAGTACAACGAAGACCAGGGAGATCCCAATTTGTTGCTGTACTACGACACGAACGACCAATGGCCTGCGGTATACAAGTCGAACAAGGTATCGACATTTTTAAATATACACTTGTTACACTGGTTGCATCATATACGTACGTTTATAAACAGCAACCACTTTAGCACGTGTGTGTTATGTTGGTTGCATAAGAAATTTGTGTTGTAATTTTATTTAAATTTTTTTAGACGTGTGAAGAGAAAGAAGACGTTCTGAACATTATGCAGAATCAAATAGTAAACCTCACAGCTCGGTTATATTCGTACAGGGACATAGCAGGATGTAGTTTTTCGGATAGTTATAGAACGACACCCATACCTAAATATACATTGAAAGTGCCAACTTTACGTCCTAACAAGACTACCACGAAAAAAGGTAATCAAGTGTAATGTAAAAAGTTCTGTTGTCACTGCAGATAATTACTTTTATTATTAATAGGACAAAATTTTATATTTCGCTTAAAGTTTTGTCATTTTAGGAACAATACAGGTAAAAACGATGGCAACTGCTACTTCTACCACCGACTCTGATATCGCTACGACTTTATTAACGTCGCAGGAGACGATAAGTACAACAGAATACTCAACTTCTTTGTTTACGACAACTCCTTACTTTGACGTAACTTTTCCTACTGATTTCACTTCTGAAACATATTTAAGTGAAAATTTATTAGACGATAATATTTTCACCACGGGGGAAACGGAGTACGAGACGACTGCTGAAGAAGTTTATTCTACGGTGCGTATTACGGGTGCGGTAACTTACCGTTTCTAATTTTTGTCTTACATGATTTTTCTCTATTTTTAACAATTCGAAACGTCTAACATTAATTGTGAATGTATTTGATTGTTTTTTTTGTAGACTCCCAAAACGACGGATTATAAAAAGCCTCCAATAAAGAAAAGGTCCGTACCAATCAACAATCATCAGTCGCAAAGGTACCAGACTAGCGGTAGGACGGTTTCCTGTCATAACGCTAGACGGTTTAGGAGTTCCAGAGAGAGGTGGTGGTTTGTAGCCGTCAGTAATTGTAATAGTACCAAGGTAGTAATCGTTATGCTTTGGAAAATATATAAAATTAATCTTAAATATATACAAACGTTTTAACCGAAGCAACTGTAACTATCATTTTTTCAGATCCGACTCTGCTACGATCTATATTTCAAATAAAAAAAAATGTTTGTTCACAGCAAAACATTTTTTTGTAGGAACTTAAGAATATTTCTTTCGTAACTTGATTGTACAAAGAAATTGTTGTTTCGATGTTCAAACTCATATAAAATAAAAATAAACTAATAAATCTATTCTAGAATATAACCATGTACGAGAATTTTGTTGCATTTATAATTTGTAGGCAATCTCGAATTTCCGATTTTACTCCAATGTATTATATTTTCAAGGGAATCAACATAAAATATAGATTACTGATGACCAATGGCCCCCCTGGAGATTACTGGCATGAACATTTCTCAGCTGACGAGTTTTGTGAGTATTTAAATTTTATGTTTTTCAAAGCCTGTCATCAAAAGTCTACATTTTCGTTAAATTTTCAGTTGACAAAGTGAGGCATTTTTGTCATCTAGCTGCAAAATACTTTTATGTTCTAGAACGCCAAAGTCTTTTTCGTTTTAGAACATAAAACAAATGTTCCAAATAAATTGTTATTTTTTCGGAACTTATTTATGATTTTATTAATTAAACAATATACATTAACTAATTATAAACAGGACGATTACAATTTATTTTGCCCTACATGTAAACTGAAAGTGCCGATATTGCAGTGAAGTTAAATTTATGCCAGATTCAGTGCTGTCAGTTATCGTAGCTTTCAGTTCTGGGCAAGTTCCGTAGGCTCTGCTGAAGATGATAACAGTTTATTTGCGATTGAAATTTTATTTTGTCTAGAATCTTCTATATTCAGGGTGATTCACAACTTATCCAAAAAAATAGATGCGGCGTGAGAAATGGCGTCAATATCGAAAATCAAAATTTTTGTAAAATCCTTATAGTTTCCAAGAAAAAAAATTATCGAAGTTGTAGTACTTTCAAGCATTACATCGCTGGACAACTGTAGCCTCTCGCATCATTCGCAATACGCTTGGAGAGCCACGTGGCCTCAGCGACTCCAAATACTGAAATCCGATTTTACAATCGTCGTTGCGATAGTGTTTACAATAGTCTTTTAGTAGTTAGTGTCAAAAATAGCTTGTGTGTATAGCAACTCGGAGTTGAGAGATATCGTTTTAATTTATGGTGAAACATTTGTGTTAGTTCGTAGAAACTGAGTAAGATGACCCAAATGTGTTTACACGTCAGTGGACAAAATTTTGAACAGTTGTAACATCAGGTATGCCAAATTATTTAATTATTTAAAACCGCAAATTAATTTGATAATAATAACAATAGCGGCAAAAGCAGCTGAATTTGCTGATATAAAATAGGTGTTCGATTTTTATTTCTTTCCTTACAAATTTTTTTCAAGTTTTTGTCCGTTTTTTATCACACTTCGCCTTGTATAAGGTCAGGTTTTACAGTGGATCAGTTTCCGTGCGGAAGAATATTTTTAAATCATTTTTGAACAGCCTTTTTTGATTTTTTATTTACAAAATTGTATTTGTAATAGTCCCCTGTACATCCAAAATATTTTTTGGATAAGTTCTGAATCAGCCTGTAATAATTGAATCTTTGTCTCCTATATCATCGATCGTTGTCTTTAGTAGCTCATGTCTTCTCAAAGCTCCACAAACACCAATAATTATTAAAATTACCTGAAAAGTTGTTCAAAATTAGCTAAATGGATCGATTTATACAGGGTGTATCTAAATAACACTGAAAAAATTCAAGGGGCGATTCTCCGATGAAAATTAATAGGGGTCTTTGGTATAAAATTTTTTGAAAAAACCCTCCCCTGAAAAGTTACGCCCCTCCTAAAATTACAAAAAAAAATTGTTTTTCTTTTTTATCTTCCACGTACATCAAGCTAAAGAAACCAAACTTGGTGAACATTATCTGTCAATAAAACTACACTTTTTGAAATTTTTTCAACCCTGAACTATTTTTGTAAGGGGTTGAAATAATCAACCCCTATGACATTTTTTCTTATAATTTTTTTTTCGATAAAATTTTTTCCTTTTAAAAAATATGTCTAAAAAACCCCATTCATTTACTAACTTTTTGATCTCTTCAAGTTTCTTCGAAAAGTTAAGGATTT